AGAGTCATATAGATGAGAAACAGCTTTTCAGGTCTCTTGTAAGAATTAGAAATGTGGTCTTGGAATCCTGATCATTTTGGAGCCCCAACATGCTCTTGATCACTGAATATCTCAAAACGCTAGGTGACAAAGGAAAATGTCGCTACCATTGGGCCATTTTGAAAGAAAATATACTTGCATTTATTGCTATTGCCTCTTTAATCTTGCTCATAGATTGGTACTGCTGTTGATACTTGATATGGTGAGTCATACATATAAAACAAACTATTACATATATAGTCATCGAATAGGTTGGGCAGATCTGAGACCATATATGGGAAAATGATCATTTCTGTTTATTGATATGTTTAATCATGGAAATAGTGGTGGACTATAATTAATGTTGTTTGGTTGAAAACCAGGAGAAAAGAATTGGATGGGAGATCGCTAATATTGAACAGGATACTGGTTTTAAGTTGAGAGTTCTAGCTCAGAATTATCCGGACACACCAGGTGTGCCTTTGGTTTTTATGTTAGTGATGTAAACCTGATTCTTATTGTTCTTTTTCCTAAAACTCCGATATTTTTTTATGTTCTTTCTAATTTTTGATGAAGTTACCAATATAAGTTCATACTGCTTCAGGACTGGCAATTAAAGATTTCTGGCAAGTGGATGATAGGACAATTGTTTTTGTTGCTGACTGTACCTTTGGTAAAGGATTTCTCTTTTGAGTTGAAGCTGATTCAGACTATATCTACTTACATCTTTCCTTGGTCAGGAGACATATCGAATTTCAATGTTGGAGCTTTAGTTGATCTAGATATTCCACATAGCTTCTGGAGTTGTTTGGCCAGGAAATATGGAAACATGTTCTATTGGAAAGAGAAGGCGAACTTCTCTTGTTGCTGGGTTAGCTATATCTTGTTTGCAATGTTCTTCATTGTAGATTTTCCTCTCAGTTTAGAAGATTATGTTGAAAGCATATTTTGCTAGGTTAACTATGTTAGCTGACTGAAACAGGGGGAAGATGCATCTATTGAAGCTGCAGTTGTGGCAATATTTAATTACTTGAAGAACCTGCAGGCTCAAGTAGTTGCTCTGAGGTAAAATAACATGATCATGTGCTAATATAAGGATTATTCTGTTTGATGATATGCTGTGATGACTTATAACATACCATGTAATCTTCCAACAGCTACACGAAACATTGCATTTCATTGTATGTTATGATGACTTTTGTGGAGTATCAGATCTTTATTTGTTGTTTGAGCTTGATTGTAACCTCTCACTGTTGATATGTAGATTAATTTATGCCTTTTTTACCTCTCAATTAATTATTAGTAATAGGGACTGCATATCAAGCGGCAATATGAGTTTTGAGGAAATGAGGATGTACCTTGAAGTAAGCAAAATGTTTCTGCAATATGAACGGACATGGTTCAGGATATAATTTAGAAGCATATGCAACATTATCTGAATTATAACTAATGAAATATAATTTTCAGAAATAAGAATGATTTTCAGTAATATAAAGA